CTACATGAGGCAAGTGATAGTGATTGACGGCACCCATCTAAAGGGGAAATACGCTGGGTGTCTCCTTACTGCGAGTTTCCAGGATGGGAACTACCAACTATACGCAATCGCTTTTGCAATTGTAGATGGAGAAAACGATAAATCGTGGACTTGGGTTCTTTCGCAAGTTGATGGAGCTCATCCCAGACAGTAGCACTCTCGTTTTCATGTTGGACCGGCACAACTCCATCTACAATGGACTGCGAAAGGTAACACATGTATATTTATTGTTATCAGTTAACCATTAATTTAGATGGGTAACTATATGGTTATTGATATAATAATAATATAGCACCCGCTAATACTGTGTGTATACGGGTAACAACTTTATTATAATCAAACTTGTCTTTATCTATGTTAGCGATTGGTTTACCTAAGCTATGAATTGGTTTAAACGCCAAATGTAGCTTTACCCCTTGGCGCGACATTGTGCTTGCATATTCCACCTCACCCGCAACATTCAGGCCATCTTCAAAAAGAAGAATCTGGGCTACCTGGTCTCAAAGGCAGCGAAGGCATACACCGCCATTGAGTTCTATGCACTGTTTAGCGAAATAAGGTCTTTAGACAGGGCATGCGGAGAGTACCTCACCACCATTGGCTACAAACAATGGGTCTGATCCCATTTCCCTGGAGCACGATATAACATCATGACAAATAATGTGGCAGAGTCTCTAAATAACGCCCTAGCAGCAGCCCGTGATTTTCCCATCATCCCCCTCATTGAGTTCATCTGAGCTACTCTAATGCGCTGGTTTAGCGAGAGGCGTGATGCAGCAGCTGCAGCAAGTACATCTCTTACTCCAAAGGCGGAGGAACTGCTTTCCAAGAATTTCGAACAGTCCACTGGGTATGGCTACCGCAAGATCAATGATGAAGAGTTCGAAATCCAGAAAAAAGAGGGGGTGCCTTTCCTGGTGAATCTTCAAAAGAAAACTTGTACCTGCCATGAGTTTGAGATGCACGACCTACCTTGTCCCCATGCTGTCGTCGCTGCAATGCGGTCTGGAAAAAGAGTCGACGCTTATGTTGGTCTTGAGTACTCGGTTGCTTTTTGGAGCAAAGCTTATGAATGCAGCATCTACCCCCTCAATTCAGGTACGGTCTTTATGACTGTGGGGGATGACTTCTCCTCCCTTATCCTCCTGCCACCGAATACAAGGCGCCCACCAGGACGCCCTCGCAAAAAGCACTTTCCATCTCGCGGAGAGTTTGGGGTAATACATAGATATCTCGTTAACATTTTAAATTTCATGTAATTAAGTTGTTGTACCATATTAATATGCACACTTTGATTTCTGGGCAGGGAGTGAAGCGCTTCACTGTGTGTGGGAGGTGCGGCGGTTTTGGTTACAACCGCAAGACCTGCAAAGCACCTATATAACATAGGATGTGTGGAAGGGGCAACATATTAGGATGAAGGCATGATGCAGTTTTTTGGATGCCATAAGTATTTCATGTTTGGTCGGCGTTTAACTTAATATGCATGTTTTTAAGTTTTAGTTGGGTGTTGAAAAAACCCAAAGGAACCCCTTTATTCTTTTTTGGCAGGGGGTGTTGTAATGTTGCACTTCCTAAAGTACCTTCTAATTAATGAATCAAAATGTCCACTTTAATGTTGTTGCATCTCTTTTATTCATAACTATGGTTAAGATTAGGTCCAAAACATAGGATCGCTATAATTGTCATCGCAAGAGATGACCCAATACCATCAATGCATATTTAAATGGGGCTGGATTTGTAAACTGGAATAATTTAGAACTTAGTTAACTCAGTTTAGCTCTTTGCATCTAGTACATAGGTTGCTGCTGTAATCATCCATGTATACGGCAACACACAGATTAGTGATCTAATTTTAAATGGGAATTTTGTTGTTATACTAACCAAAATGGATTAACTTAGTTACAAAATAAATTTTTACCGGGTAAATTAAAAGTTAACATATAAAAAATTTTGAGGCAGGCTTGTAAACTGGAATAATTTAGAACTAAGTTAACTCATTTTAGATATCTGCATCTAATACATGGGTTACCGCTGCAATCATCCGTGTATACGGCAACACAGAGATTAGTGATGTAACTTTAAATGTGATTTTTATTGTTGTACTAACACCAATGGATTAACTTATTTACTGAATAAATTTGTACCCGGTAAAATTAAAGTTAACATATAACAATTGTTGTTTTTATGTAACAAGTAAGTTAACGATCTGAAAAAAAAAAACAAAAGTGATGCAACATTCGATGACAAAAAAAATCCAACTGTCATGAAATTCATAATCAAATATTGTACACAAAGAAAGGTAGCCAGAGATACTAAAGGTAAGTAACCCTATCCACAGTAGACATAGCAGCCTAAATAGGATTACAGAGGGCTGTCAAATTCTTCAAACATACGAACAGCCAATATGTGGCTTTCTGAAGCCAAATGAACGGGATTGATATTTTTGCAACGTTCAAAACCTCCCATAGCATGAGCCATGATCAGAAGGGCGGCAGTGACCCCTGAGTCAGAAATATCAGGATTCATAGGAATGCCCTTGCTCCTATGCACAAAAAAACACTTGTCGTCGATGGACTGTTTGTTGCTTAGAACCTGTTTGACCACGTACGGAAGCATCTGGGTAATGGACATAAGGGCCTTCTTCACAAAAGCATCGGAGCGATGGCTTGGGTTACAGTCCAGCACGTGAATGGATGCGCCCACTATATCAACACAAATACCTACCCAATGCTCCTTGTCCAGGTTATATGCGCAGTACATACGTTCAGGGCCAGGAGATTCAGTCGTGACTAGCTCCAAGAAATGCATTACCGTGTCACCAAATAAAAAACAGTGCATGTCTGTATGTGCTAGCTTACTAAAACGGTGAAGCTGTTTCGTGAGCTGATTTAAAAATATCGTCTCCAAGAACTCCGTCCCGCTGTAAGTTTCGTCTTTAAATTGCTGGCTAAATACGGCCCTTGCGTAAAACAGGAGAGCATCCATCATCTGAAAATGCACAGGAAAGAAAGTCATACAAAGATGTTTAAAACAATAAGTGTTCCCAATACAACCAATCTATTAGCGTTATAATATATTTTTTACTCCCGCTAACAATTATGTTATCTTGGATTTATAAGATGAGGATAAATAACAACTTCTACACTGGGAACTTTAATATTGCCAAGCTAACTCATTTTCTTTTAATAAAAACTAGATTTTACTCCGTGCATCCGCACGGATATATTTTATAATCAAAATTTGTAATATAATTTATGTTTTATTTATAAATATAATTTTTCTAATAAATGACAAAGATTAATTTATATGTTTAGATATAATTTGTGTTTTAATTTTTTTTCTAGTACTATTATGACCACAATCATATAAACATATATCTAATCCGGTCTATTAATAAAAAAAATAACTGTTATTATAAAAACATATTTTTAATTCGTTTATTCTATTAATCCAAAAGTAACTGTGGTTATAAAACTATAATTCTAATCCGTCCGTTCATATTACTATATAATATAAATATTTACTAATTTTGAAATAATTTTTATCTTAATATCTTGCATGTTTTGATAACATAACCTGCATAACCCCACAATTATAAAAAAAAATCTAACCCGTTTCATCATATACTATATAATATTAATATTTATCAACTTTTAATATGTGAAATTTTAGTCTGATTGAATATGACTGAAAAAATAACGTATTCATTAATCATAGTGTTATTCTGTAAATATTATTTGAATTTTAAATATTAAATCAAATCTAACATATTTAATCTAACTTATATTTAACGAAGTCTAAAGTAATTTAAATTAATATATATATGTTCAGATTTAAATTTAATTAAAAAGAATAAATAGTTTGAATTTAAATTAAATATCACCTATATTTAAGGAAATCTTTAGTTATCTAAATTAATATCTAATTTTTGAAATTAAATTTATTAAAAAATATGTTTTTAAATGATATTGTAATAAATAAAGATAATTGTAAATCCATATAATTTTTTTAAAAAAATTTAGGTGTGTTTGGATGCAAGCACTAAATGTGCTTCTGTTTTAATAGAATAGATGTACCGCTACATTCATACGTGTTATACGGTAATACCCAAAGTATTGATCTAACCTTATATGTGACTTTGATTCTTGTACTGGCATAATTGTACTAACTAAACTAAAAAATATCATTCAAACTTACAATTAGCGGTAATACATGTATTTATTATCTACCTAATACAATTACGAATGGTACCTTCGATGATATATGTTTTGTTCGCGAGGCGACCTCGAGCAGTTCTTTATTGTTTATGGAGCTACCATTGCCTAAAATGATGACCTTGCAATAGAAAAACGAGTCCACTTAATAATTCGAAAACAAAGCAACATCGCTTGAAAGAATTCCTAGTTACATTACCTAGGAGACTTCAACAATTCTTCAAGCCGATGAAATTTTTGCAAGAACGTAGAAACTTTCTCGGGAGGGTAAGAGAAAATGTGGGGTGAAATGGTACAGTTAATCCATTTAGGATCAACCTGGTAGGGTTTGTACCCTTGGGGCTACGTCCTGGCTCGCTTGCTCCGGTGACGTGATCGAACTGCCCCAGCAAGAGTAGAATCATCCAGTATTTCTTCCCTGGTATTTCTTCCCCGATGGCGTCGTCACCCGAGTCATCCTCATACTGGGGTGAATGTTCGTGCATGACGGCGTCAGAAGAGTGAGGCAAGATCTCAGAATTGCCAAAAGGTGCAGTAAATGGTGTCAAGAAAGGCTGACCCGCACCCGCGTTCAACGATGAATGAGTCTGAGGAGACACATCCTGCATATCAAGGGTTTAGATAGTGCTACCTTAAAAAGAAGAATATGAAATACATTATCTACACAGGGTAACAATTAGAAAAATTATTTACCAGATTGTTGACCATATTAATGGCAGCCCCGATTTCGGCGTCCTCTGTCGTCTACTTTCGAGCCGCAGCATTAGTATCCGCCCTTTCTTGATCGTCAGGTAAACATTGAAATGCGTTACTGATCGCAGTAGTAGTCCCACCTTGCCCATTTGCAACATCTGAAAGTGGTTTGTCCAAGAATGACATAATACTGGAAATCATCTTCTGTGACATTGCTTGCAACTTGGTACCAAGAGTAGACCTTATCGCCTCAGTTAAACCGCTAAAATCTTGACGCAAACCGTCCACTCTATTACCAATATCTTCCACCTTGTTGGCGAGTACCGAGATATCCTTCTCTAAACAGGCAGAACATGCTGAGCTATCCTCTTAGGAGAAGACATGCCCCCCCCCCCGGGTCGTTCGCCGTTTTACTAGCGTTCTCCAGTGCTCTCTCTTTGTCTTTCTTCTTTGCAATTTCCTTCCTGTCCATGCGTATTTTTTTCTAGCTCGACCTGCGTCAAACCGCCCTTGAACATATCTTTCTGAAACCGGAATCCTTCATCAATCAATCTCACCATATTGTTAACAGATGGATCATCTTCGTCGTCTGACCAACTAAAATCAACACCTTCAAATGACAAGCTGTCGGGGATGGGAAATATACTAAAAACAGAAGCCTATTCCACAAAGAATGAAAACAAAATGATTAGCAGTCAATCAAAAAGTTTAAACAGATAAAATACTAAATGCGAAGTAAATCGAATGTGTAACGTATACAACAAGGATTAGTGGTGAAACCATTTTGTTAGACAGGTAAACTATTTATTGCAGATGTAATAAAATAGGTATCGTATATACAAAGGGGGTTAGGTCTAACAAGTTATGTACATGTGCTTCTTCATCCAGCTCCCTCGCGTGGCTAGGGCTCAGACCAAGCTTGGGATGATCTTGGGTACTTGACTGTTTTGCATTCGCTTTCTCACAACCGTTCAAAATGGCCGAGTCAGATGCATTACCACTAATTTCCTGCGGTTCAGATCGAACATCCATATCCAGCTCTTCTTCCTTTCCCTCTGACTCTAAGATGAGGATGAGTCATTTAGTTAGACAACTTCAGTCAACGAGGGACCGCTTCCACCATAATTAGTTGAATCGCATGGAAAAAACCCTTAACATCAACGGTGCTCTGCGCGAGCGCAACCTCATCCTTTGTCTTGATGCTAGAAATAGGCAACTCGAACCCGACCCTGGCCCAGGGATAAGCTAGGAATTCGTCAAAATCTCTGATTAGCTCAGCATGTTCAAGGATGATTTTAGATATGTGGTTTGTTGGACAAAGCACAGCTCTGGTAATGGCGAGGCAGGCGTACTTGAGGCGAGACGTCTTATCAGCAATGGTCTTCTTCTTCAACATCTTCGTTGCGAGATCTACACTGCAGGCCTTGAGATTTCCAAATAGGTCGGGCCAGTACGGTTTCTCGCGGACTGGGTTTCTCTTTTTGTTCTTGCTCTTCTTAGGAAGTTTACCACAAGGAAGGCTAGTAACAATAGCAAATTCCCTCAACGAAATTTGTATTGGGCGCCCAGCAAATAAAATCCAGATTTCATGCCTCTTTGTAACCTTCAAAAGTCGGGTTATACAATAATGGCCGAAACTATCTGAAAAGGCTGGTTTCTCCGCCGTCGCAATAAGTTTGCCGAACGGAGAACGCCGCATGAATTCCTTTTCATCTTCCTCCAGAGCGGTTAGAATGTGGTTAGTCGTCTTCACCTTATGGTACGAATTCACTCTCTCACCAGATGGTTCTTCTCCAGCGGCGAACATCCGGGCCGGAAGAAGTGGGAGATCCATATGAGAGATATGTCGGTTCTCCTACTTTGAGCGAAGTGTGGATTCGAAATTTGAAAAACTTCAGACTAGGGTATTAGATGGAGAGAACTGTATTGAAATGTCTAGAACCCGGTTAAACGAAGCGGTGTTAACATCCTTATTAATGCCCTATTCTAGAATAGGGAGTAGGGGATAGATTAAGTTTCTCAAGTGTCTTAGAGAGTATGGATCTTCATTAATAGTCCAAATAGGGGTTTTTGTATTATTGAAAATTGAACAGTATAGGGAATTTGCATTAGTTATTTTTGTAAATCCTGTATTGGTTTTTGTTAGGAGGCCTAATTTCTCTTTTTTTAATCCATCTCTACATAAAAGTGTTAATGGAGGAAGATCCACCAAGGGACCAAAGATCCACGATGAAGTGGAAAATTTGGAGGAAGACAAAAAAAAATGGCGAACTACTCCAAAGTCACTACTTCCTCGAGGTCTGGATTTTCCTCCATTAACAGTGAGTTAGCTTTTATTAACTTTATAAAAATGAGAAAAGTTTCGAATAAATGCTATGCATTCATAGTGTTTTAGGCTAATTGATAATTACCATTATTTATTTGATTCAATTTAGTTGATAAATACAATTAGAAACACCATCTCTAAGTACTTTTTTAAATCCCTCTCACATCAAGGTGTTAATTGAGGAAGATCCAAGGTAAAACAATCAAACCGATCTTTAGAAAAGATGTTAGACGAACTCAGGATGCTGCACTAGCCACATCAACAACAAGAATGAAAGGATGATGCTTTTATTTGCTTAAAGTCAACAAACATTTAAATCTTTTATGCAAACAATTGGAAAGATGGAAAGATAACCAAGAGGTGGTGGTGGGGTGGTTTCCTTCTAGTGCTAGATGCGGAATTGTCACATTATTAACTCTTAGCCATCCAATTTTGTGGGCCGCTACTGGACTTACATGAAAAGATGTTGAGTCTAAGGGGGATTAGTCTGGGCTCGAAGGACCTGGGATTTACCTTCGGATAACAAAAAAAACAATTGGAAAGATTTGCTTATATTATTTTTATTTTTTTGGTTAAAGGGCCTTCGACATATTGTTTTCTATAATTTTTTGAAGAATTTCATAGCTCTGTTAGCTGCATTGTTTCTCCCTCACCAGCTCCAACGTACCTTTATAAGAAAGACATGGATTAACTCACAAACCAAAAAGAAAAAACAAAAACAAAAAATTGAAAAAGCAGAGGAAAAGGAAACAGAATCAAATTTTTCCAAGCTGGAACCTTCAAAACGTGTACGATAGCTAATCGCATAGGCCGAATTTCTATGTTGACTTAAGAGGAGAAGAAGAATGAAGAAAGTTAAATTTTACATGCCACATGCCTTGCACGATACATGATTGTAGGCTAGGTCTTAAAAATATTAGAAAAACAAAAAATAACAAAAAAAAAACAAAAAAAAAAACTAAACAAAGCATTATATAGTGTCTGTGAATTTTGATTTGTAGGCTTGTAGCCCATGAATACGAGAAATAAAACGATCGTGGATAGAGGAGAAACTTCAGATCCCATCCCATTGATCTCATTATAGAGATATCCTCAAGATTGCCCGCAAAGTCAATCGCTAGGTTTCATTGCATGTCGAAGCTATGGGGTTCCATATTCACCGTCCAGATTTCACGGAGCTGTTCTTGACCAGGTCCTCGGCTCGTCCACGTCTCTTATTTGCGGTCGAACGAGATCACAAGAAGTGGAGTTTCTACTCCTCGCCTCAGCCTCATAATCCAAATGGCAAGTCATCATCATCTCTTGTAATGGCCGCCGAATTAATATGAAGTTCACACAAGACGAGCCGCTTATTTCATGTCGCTATGCCTCTGGTTTTATCTATTTCTCTCATATGTCGATCTCAAATCACGATGACAATCCAGTACCTGTGATATTTAACGCTAAAACGGGACAGTATGCGATCTTACCTAAACTGAGAACTTACATTAGCAAGTATAGCTTTTTAGGGTTTGATTCGATTGATAAGCAAATTCAAGGTGTTGTTCATGGATGGTCATCCAATTTGTGATGTTCTCACATTAGGAACTGGAATAATGAGGTGGAGGAAGATCCAGTGTCCCATACACCATGATCCGTACACCCAAGAGATATGCATCAATGGGGTTTTGTATTACTTAGCTGTCCAAATTCATGAAATGTCTAGTTTGATAGTTTGCTTCGACGTCAGGTCTGAGAAATTCAACTTTATTGAGTATACAATTAGCTTATGTGGTTGGTCTACTAAATTGGTAAACTATAAGGGTAAGTTAGGAGTAGTTCGTTGTAGGATATCTGTTAGATCCCTTGAGTTGTGTATATGGGTTCTAGAGGATATAGAGATACGGGAATTGCCGAAGTATGTCTACATTTTGCCAGTGAATGTAGTCTCTAATCACCACGATCTTTACATAGTTGGAGTCACTACTACATGTGAAATTGTTTTGTCGAGGACACATACTTATCATACATCTCAACCATTTTATGTTTTCTACTTCATTCCCGAAAGTAACACTCAACAAACTGTTGAAATCTATGGTTTGGACAACTATAGTAGAGTTTGCACTTTTGTAGACCATGTGGAGGATCTTAATGTTAACGATGCAAAGCTATTCAAGTCAAGCATCTCTTCTCCATCTTTGAAGAACAAACCCAGCCTAGATATCATTGGGAATAGGCCAAAACCACAACATCCGGAAGAGGTAACAGACAAGGGACAGTAACAAGAGGTATGATGATGGTGTGAGTTGGGAGAAGAAAGACAGAGAGAGAAATGAAAGAGACAGTAGGGAAGATGAAGAAAGAAGAAGAAGAAGCCACAAAGAGATGAGAGATAAAGACGGTCATTGGAGTGATAAGGGGATAAGAAAGAGAGACAGTAGGGAAGATGAAGACAGAAGAAGCAGACATCACGAAGAGGTGAGAGATAGAGAGAGGCGTGTGGAGAGTCGAAGAGATAGAGATGATCATTGGAGTGATAAGGGGATGAGAAGAGAGAGAGTCAATGAGAGATGGATTAGATGAAAGCAAAGGTCATTGTTATTTTGTGCTCTTTCTATGCGTTTTAAGCTCTCTAGTTATAGTCGGGAGTTCTGTGTCAATCAAATCTGTGATATGAGATATGAGACGCTTTTTTTCTTTTTTTCTTTCTTTATTTTATTTAGTTTGTACTGCTAAAGATAAAAGGAAACACTTTTGATTAGCCAGAGACGACGGTGCAAAGAGTTTTTGGATTGGTTTCAAAAAACTTGGATTAGAAGTCAAGACTTAGTTTCAGAAACACAAAATATCTTTGGTAATAGGTTTCTTGGCTGCAAAGAAGATTCTTGGTGGCTCTGTAGCAGGAACAATGAAAGAAACTTCAGCACCATATGGGTTTCTTGCAGTGCACGTCGGGATGAATAAGCAGAGATACATTGATCCATTCACTTACTTGAACCAGCCTTTGTTTCAAAATCTTCTCGGTAAAGCCAAGGAAGACTTTGGATTTACTCATCCAATGAGCAGCTTGAAGATACACTGTCCTGAAAATACTTATCTCAATATAACTTCTCACAGTGCCAGATCAGACCTTTATAAGTTACTCTGAGATATCACTAACAAACCAAGCAGATACTCCTCTTTGGGGAATTGATGATTTTTCCAAAAAAATTTATGCCGTGTAGGATTGTCAACATTGGATTTATGTTGTAGTGAGGCAAGTGCAGAGCCATGCTTTTTATGATTATATAATTATTTAAGTCCCCTGCGAACTTATAGAGTTGCTACAGACAAGAGGGCTCTTTAATTTCTTTTCCTATGTATTATGCTATTAGAGAATTGTACTCTTCATTGGTTACATCCAATAGTTGAGAAAGATAAACACATTGATTGTAATCCAAAATGCTAATTTACGTAATCTGTTTAAGGAAAAAGAATGTATAAGTCTTGTACAGTATGTTCTTCTTCCTCCAACATTCTTTAATGCGGAAATAGACCTCAATAGTGACAGTTCGTAATACAATGGCTTAAAAACTAAACAGTGACTTATCCTTGAAAATACAGGGCCATCATAGTCAGTATATTATTCCTCAATAAGTGACTGCTTTATAATATATCTTTGTTTAGCTTATGGTAGTCTCCCATCAATTTCACGCATTATGTGTTAATGGGATCTCTTTTTTTTTTTATGTAGACAGTATTTTCCTTTGCAGCTCCTCTTTAAGTGACTGAAAAGCAAAGATTTTTCAAAACTGCTTCATGCAAATTCTTCATTGTGGTAATGTCGGAGAAGAAACCAGACAATACTTGGTCGAGTTTATCAGAAATACGCCAATGTAGCTTTATAAGAAAGACATACAGTATATAGATTACTCACAGAACAAAACTAAAAAAAAGTTGTAAAAGCAGAGGAAAAGGAAACAGAATCAATTTCTTTCAAGCTTGGAACTTTCGAAACGAGTACGATAATTAATCGCATAAGCCAAATCTGTAAGTTGGAGTCAAGAGGAGAAGAAGAAAGAAAAAGCTCTTGGTAACTTTTACTTGCCCACGTGCCTTGCACGATACATAATTGTCGGCTAGGTCATAAAAAATTAGGAAAACCAAAAAAAAAAAAAATCCCCTAAAAGGAAAGCATTATATAATATATATAGTCTCTGTGATTTCTGATTTGTATCCCATTACCCCATATAATGTATACAAGAAATAAAACGATCATGAATAGAGGAGATACTTCAGATTTCATCCCAATTGATCTCATTATCCCGATATTCTCGAGATTGCCTACAAAGTCAATCGTTAGGTTTTATTGCGTCTCGAAGCTATGGTGTTCCGTGTTTCACCGTCCATATTTCACAGAGCTGTTCTTGACCAAATCCTCAGCTCGTCCACGTCTCTTATTAGCCGTCAGAAAAGAGGATCAGTGGAGCTTCTACTCCACGCCTCAGCCTCACAATCCATATGAGAAGTCGTCGTCTTCATCGTCTCTTGTACTAGCAGCCGATTTTCATATGAAGTTCCCACAAGGCAGTACGCATATTTCGTGTACCTATGACTCTGGTTTGATCTATTTCTCTGAAACGTTGATCTCAAAGGACGATGACAATCTAGTACCTGTGATAGCTAACCCTAACACGGGACATTATGCGATCTTATCTAAACTGAGAAGTTACAGATCCTTGTATACTTCTTTAGGAAGTTTGTATAGCTTTTTAGGGTTTGATTCGATTGACAAGCAATTCAAGGTCTTGGTCATTGCTGGTCCAACTTGTGAGGTTCTCACATTAGGAACTGGAAGCATAATGACGTGTCCCATAGATCATGAGCCATACTCCCAAGGGATATGCATCAATGGGGTTTTGTACTACTTTGCTGAACGAGGTCATGAAGCGTCTGATGTGATAGTTTAATTGCTTCGATGTTCGGTCTGAAAAATTCAACTTTATTGAGTATAGAAAATATGGTTGGACGTCTCTTCTTGGCTTTTGTGATTGGTTTACTAAATTGGTAAACTATAAGGGTAAATTAGGTGGGATTAGTTGTAAAAGGAATGATGCTGATTCCTTTGACTTGCATATGTTGGTTTTCGAGGATATTGAGAAACAGGAATTTTCAGAATATGTCTACACTTTGCCGGAGAAAGAAGTCGTTGATATCTTCAGTCTTTCCGTTGTTGGAGTACCAGGTGAAATTGTTTTGAAGGTGGAAAATTATTACATATATGAATCTGATCTGTTTCGTGTTCTCTACTTCAATCCAGAAAGTAACACAGTCCAAAGTGTTGTAATTCAAGGTTTGGACAAGGATAGTAGTGTTTATGCCTTTGTAGACCATGTAGAGGATCTTAATGTTAACGATGCGAAGCTATTCAAGTCAAGCATCTCTTCTCCATCTGTGAATAACAAACACAGCAAAGATATCATTACGAAAAGGCCAAAACCACAACATCGGGAAGAGGTACGAGAAAGGGACAGTGAAAAAAGGTATGATGATGGTGTGAGTAGGGAGAAGAGACACAGGGAGAGAAATGAAAGAGACGGCAGAGAAGATGAAGACAGAAGAAGACACCACGAAGAAATGAGAAATAGAGAGAGGTATGTGGAGAGTCGAAGAGATAGAAACGATCATTGGAGTGACAAGAGGAGAGATAGAGACACTATGGAAGATGAAGACAAAAGAAGAAGCAGAAGCCACGAAGAGGTGAGAGATAGAGAGAGGCGTGTGGATAGTCGAAGAGAGATAGAGACAGTTGGGAAGAGGAAGACATAAGAAGAAGAAGAAGAAGACGCCTCGAAGAGATGAGAGATAGAGAGGGGCATATGGAGAGTGGAAGAGATAGAGATGCTCATTGGAGTGATAAGGGAAGGAGAAGAGAGAGAGACAATGAGAGATGAGATAATAAAGCAACGCTCATTGTTCGTTTTATGTTCTTGAGCTATATAAGAACCGGTTTTCCTGATAAATGTGTTCATGGTTCTTGTGAAAGATACAATTTACAATTCATACTCTTATGAACACAATGATTAAAACAAGCTGCAAAGTTTCTTGGATGAAGTAACTAAACCTTTTTTTTAAGTTGCTGCTTCAGCAGGAGAGGAGAGTTTTGCAAGGACAACAACAGGATCACCAACTTTAATTGTTTTTCCCATTACATCACTGACTCGATCTTTCCAAATCATGTTCTGCCCAAAATATATCTGCATCATCATCATCATTTTCAAATCTATCAATTGAAACTCTCATATTAATTCGTTATGATGATAAACGGAACAATGGTCTTTTTACCTTTCCCTGTGGTTTCTTCTTTGGCTGTATAACTTTGTCTGACCTAAAATTCCTCAGAGTTTTAATCGGCTCTTGACCTCCAACCCCAGTTTCTTGTTTTATCGTTGGTACCTGATCATGGACAAATCAAGAAGCTTATCCTGAGACAACAAAGCAAGATAGAAGATTCATGGAGTGATTAAACTAGGCCAAGCTTTCTTTTTAACATACCTTGCAACGGGAGCATAATTTCACACCGTGAAAGGTGAAATCGTTTATAAGAATCTCTCTCCATAAATCTTCAGCGAATGGTTCACATCCATCAACAAAGATGCTGTCACATTTCCAAGTGACTGTTATCAAGTGATGTTACAAAGCAATTATAGCTTTTAAGAGACTTTCCTTTGAACATACTTGGGTCTAAATCGGTTGATCGGTACAGGCTCCTTAAGAAGCTTATTTAGGGAATCAAGAGAGCCCTGTAGAACGTTATGAGAGTATTTAGAACAGAACCGAAAGAAAGAACTTGAAAAATGATCCTCGTTTTCTTATATGGTGACTGACCTGTGATATAAGCAAGAACGGGTACATATCTGAGAACATCGCATAGTGACCTGGAGCATAATCTGGATCCACAGGTCTAGTCTCGGAGGCTGCAATTAAACAGCAAACATGTGAGCTTAATGGAGTCAAAGCTATAAGATTAAGACAGGAAAAAAGTATATGAAACCTGAATTAAAACGAACAAGTCGACAAGGCTTCCCAAGAAAGTTTGTAATCCACTGAGATGCTTCTTCTCCTTCATCTAGCGCGGAGCCAGACCACTCCCAAACTGAGACACCGTGTGCTATTTTCTCGGGTTTAGCTAGTGAGACCTTAAGTGCATCCATACCAGGAGCTCTAACCACTGAAAACAGAGCCTAAAAGATGAGAAAGAAAGAAAAATAGACTATGTTCATAAATGAAAATTCATTTGAAGAAGAAGATATAAAATCAATCTGACCCATGTTAGAGCTCTTCTCAGGCTCCCAGTCCTCTTCAAACGCATGTTTAGGCATCTCTACTTCAATCAAGGAAAGCTTTGGTTCAACTCTTTGAGTCAATCCTCGACCTTTAGAGTTCACAATCAACCAGTTTCGATCCCATTGAAATCCTGAGCAACCAAACCCCAAAAAATTTAGCTTAGCTTTTCAATTTTCTCCCCAACAAATCACTCAAAGTTAATCTCATGAGCTCTCAACATAACAACAGCCACTATCCTATATTCAAATAAATACACAGAAACTGTTATGAGTTACAGCCACTAAGCCATTCACATTTCTACGTCTTAAAGAGACTTTTAGAGCATCCATCATTTTGGCCAGCACCAAATCAATCCACACAAGAACTTACAGAGTCACACTCAAGACTACTTAGAACACCCAATTTTCAATTTAATCAAATAATCGACAAATCATCAAGAACCCATAAACAAGAGCACACCATCTGAAGCAAACAACGAGTTTCTCTAATTGATGAACCCTTAATTACAGACTAAGGAAACAAACACTTGAACCCAAAAGCACAAATAGCTCAATTATGAATCCAAAAAGGAAAAATTGAAATCGAAACCACGAAAAAAGGATAAAAAGGAGACTTTATCTGAAATGGGAAATAGTGTCTGATTATACCGGTGGGAGTGAGAGCTGCCTGAGACAAAGAAACACCTCTACATGATTTAATCGGATAAACGAACAGAGACGATACTCTTGCACCGATTTCACCTGCCAGCGACGGAGACAAAACGTTCTCCATTGCTCTCTCTAGCGTTCTTCTTCCGACGAACATATCTTTATAGAATTTCATATATGCTCCCTAAAATTCTCAGATTATCCGATTAAAGCCTCAAACTTTGTTTAGTCTTTAAATAACCCTAGTCTGTCACATTTATGATCAAATTCCCCAACTAATTCAACCTGTAGAATCTTACACATGAGAAGAGAACTCTAGTAGTCCGCACTTTTCAATACAAATCTCCTTTCAAAATCTAACCTTTTTTTTTTTTGACATCATCTAACCTTTTAAAATCTTAATGCATATATCTATAAAAATGAAAAGAGTAGAAAAAAATAAGTAGAAATGACCAAAAGTAGAAGAAAAAAAACGTAGAAATGAAAATGAATAGATTCAAAAAAAAAAAATGAAAATGAAATGAGAATATGAGTCATGGATTGTTTCAAAAAGAATCTGAGAAAGTTTTGATTTTCAACATTTACCGACAAAAGTGTTTTCAACATTTACCGACAAAAGTGTCTTGTTCTTTCATATAGAGACAATTGCTAGAGCATTTGCATTCAAAGCCTCCCCAATTTGTTCATACACTTGCATTCATCACATTGACAAGCTTATTGCTCCTTACATTCAACAATGTCTAGTAGATCAACATATGTGTATACAAACAAGATGAGAGAATTTGAAATTTAAGTGAGGAAAAGTATTCACCTCACAGCCATAAATATTAACCTTTTAAATTAACAATAAATTTACTGTATCAATGAAACCCAACTAAAGAAACTGGAAGAAGCTTAGGGTTCTTTATATATACATGAAACCCAAACAGCTGCATTTTTATGTATCTGGTTATGAAATAAACAACAACATTAAAAAAGCATCAGATAAATTCCTTCAGAGATCTCTCTGCTCATGTGAGTCAAAGATTCCTCTCTGAAGAAACAAATGTTCAGTGTGTCCATCTTCTCTTTACGCAATGTTCTTCCTGCTCTTTGACCAGAATGGCGTTGCCGGTTTGCGCTTTAAGGCCTTAACACTAAACGGACTGTTCTTGCTCTGCGAATGAAATAAATTCACAAAAGATTACGTGAGATTCAAGCAATACCATATTAATATGCTGTTGTTCTTGAAAAAAAATGGAGAGGATCAGAACTTACCATTAAACAAGTTCCTTGATCAAGGTCACAAACCGGGTACTCGTGCGGGCAACAGCTATAGTTGTCATCACAGCACGTGGCTGCTTCTAGTGGGCAACATCCCCAAGCAAAGCAATACTTTCCATACTCAAAGAGACAACAACAAGTGTTGCTCTCAGGACAAGTGTAGTAACTGTCACATTGGGTTGGTGGCTTGATGGGAGATGGTGGTGAAGGTCCTGGGTTTGGCGGGTTTTGGCCATTCTTGATCGGGTACGAAGGTTCGATTGCAATTCCACATTTTCCCGATGAATCCTTAATGTTACGCTCCATCCTTATGTATCCACTCTCTCCCCAGCTTGTTCCCCATGAGTTTCTTACGATCCAATAGTCCTTGCCGTTCTCAGTTCCGTATCCGACCGCCACAACTCCATGGTCTAGTTGTGTTCCACATACTCCATCGAATATACCCTTTAGAAAGGAAAAGAACACGCACATCAACACATGAGAAAACGAAGTTGAGTAAAAACAATATGAACATTTGAGATCGAAGTAGTAAAACCTACTTTATAATCAACCAAATATGAGATGCAATTGTCTCATACGCCAATTTGTGCGTTAACTTGTGAATACAACTTTCCATATTCGGAACATAATAACATTTTTACGTTAATTCGTAGAAATCTTTTGTAAAATGTAACCGCAAACGCCAAACAGAGTTTCTCTGTTCTGTTTGTATTTAGCGTTACAATTAACAAAAGAATTTAATATATAGATGGTATATGTAAACGCAAACGCAAACAAACAATCCAGGCTATCATTCAAGAACGCAAACAAAAAATCCAAGAACTATGAGAACATGGTCAAACATACGTACCGAATCATAGAGCTGGAACGCACGACCACCACCCTCAATCGCGACGCTAATGGGTTGGTTAGAAAGTGCTTTCTTCAAGGATTCTTCGCTGTAAGTGGGTGCATCCTCGTATGAATCGATTGTGACAACTTTAGCGTTTTTCTGCAACAAGAAAACCCACAAAGGTGATATAAGAATCATTCACTAGTTGTTAAGAGTAAAATCAAAACAAATGCTACTGTAACTCACTCTGTTCTGGTCACAACGTCCATCAACTCCCTTGTAAGGATAATCTTCCTCTGAATCAATTCCACCATTGTTGATGATAAACTCAAATGCATAGTCCATGAGACCTCCGTTACAACCTTCATTGTATGAGGTGTCACAATCGACCAATTCTTGTTCAGACAAGGATATTAAGTCTCCGGTTACAATCTTGTTTATGCCTTCCACTGCTCCGATGGTTGAAAACGCCCAACAACTACCTTCATTACCAAAAGAAAAAAGAAATAATTAGTCATCAAACATCAGCTTATGATAAACCATTAACATCAAAAACAGAACATACTACTAATATCAGTGGTCACTATGAGAATAAAGAATCACCCACCAACCGATTTTTCTTCTTTTTGTCAACAACCTACTTAAATGCGGATTTGAATCTGGTTGGTGACATATGACCGCACTAGTACTAACCACTAGATTACATGTCTCTTGGTTTCCATCAACCGACTTGTTATATTGTGCAATTTCTAACATAAGTATGGCTAAGAAACTTCTGGCTGTGAAATTCCCAACAACATGAACAAATTTAACTGAATACTCTCATATACAAGATGTTTTAAATCAAATAAATTTTGCATAGAAACTTGTAAAAACCAAATCAAATTAAGCAAAGAAAATTTTCCAGAACATTTTATGTAAAGGAATATCCCTCAACTGGACTTACAAGATTATGAACCATTGAATTCAAACTAGTTTCATATAAATCCAAACTAATCTCAAATAAAGTAATCATAAATCAAATTAGTCTCTCTTTTTTGTTCAAAATCAAATTAGTCTTTAAACACCTTCATTTCACCTAAAAGCTCACAGGGGCAAATATGTCGTTTTCAGATGTTCCAATATCTTTTGAAAGAAGCAGAGAGATAGTTGTCTTTTTCCCTAACAGATATTTGATGAAAACAGTTTATTTTCTCCACCTAGACTAGTAATTTCAAAGAAGTAAGAATCAAGAACTGTAAAAAATGATGGTATATTGAGTTAAAAAACAAAAACTTACCACAGCTTCCCTGATCTTTGACCTCAACCACGGCACCTTCCTTCCTCCAGTCAACGCTCTCCGGCAGCGCGTCACCGACACGCGCCTCATAGCGTGTGCTGGCCCTTCTCTCTCTGTTCTTCTGCATCTTAGCTCCAAGGTATATGGATCTATACTCATCGTTAGTGAGATCCGCAAACTTCGTAAGACCTAATCTGTAACTAAGATTCTTCGCGTTGTGATCGTCGATGAAACGGAGATTATCTTTAAAGATCTCGAACCGCCGATCTTTCTCAACAAGAGAGTTCTGAACCTTGCCGTGTTTCACTAGCCACGTCTCGTAGAGTCTCTTAACCTCGGCGTCGCTCCGGCCGCCGGAGACGGTGTGGTGGCTCTCGTCGTAGGAGATGATTGACATGTCCATCGCCGATGAAACGGCGATCATCGTTAGGAAGAGGATCGCCATAGTTGGGTTAAAGAACTTCATTTCTTCTTCACTGTTTTAAAATTTTTTGGAGAAGAAGAAGAAGAGAAAAAGAAGAGGATTTTGAACGATGGACAAGAGATGGTGGTGGGGTATTATATAAAGCCAAAATGAGATAAGCGTAAATTATTTTTATTTTTTTAAGTTTTTTTTATAAGTTTCAGATTTAAACCATATTTCAAAGTCAAACACAAAACTAACCTTTTTTCTCTCTCTAACTTTTGCCAATTTCTCATAATTTTATCCTTCTCACTTAAACTATTAACAAAAATGTCATCATACATATAATAATTCGATTTTTCTTTAATTGGCTAAAGTCTTCTTGGACCTTCTAAAGACTTTTTAATTACGAGAATGCCATCGTCTTCAATACCTTCAACCACCATGAACAACCATGAAAATGGAATAAATGCTTATCAACCTGTTTTAAAGCTGTAATAAAACAAATATCTAAGCTCATTCACTCATAACCTTGTTCATTCTATCATAATTTCTTCTCCAAAACATCTGGGCATAGTTGCAATGCTTCGCGCCATCCTTTTGCGGTGAATTCTGGTTTACTCGACATCTGGGTTGTTTAATTTCAGTGAAATCATAAGTTCTGGGTAGATAAGAGAAACTTAGGGGAGCTCAATTTTGTCAAAGGTAATCCTCGCACTTCAATTTCTCCACATTTCAGTTTTTATATCGCTAAAGTAGACTTTTCGTGAACTATAGTGAAGTCTATGAGTCAACATAAGGTTATTTTTGCAATTGACTTTTAAAAAGTAGACTTCTTTAAACCTCACGAGAAGTCTACTCGATATCCTTTGAAAACAAAAAAAATCATAGTAGACTTCATCTGACGGCTTAAGAAGTCTACGAAAGAAAAGAGGTTATTTTTGTAGTTGACCGTATTTTGACTTTTTAATGTAGACTTCTAACTGAAGTCTACTGTTTACGTCTGCACACGAAGTCTACATTTAAGTTACTTTTGTAGTTTGACCAAAAACGTATAGGTCATTTTTGTGTTTGACTTATGTTTTTCAAAAATAAAAAAAATTAAAAAAATTTCAAAACGCTTCAGTAGACTTCACAAAGAAGTCTACAGAGAAGTCTACAAACTGTAGACTTCTCTGTGAAGTCTACCTATTGTGTTCGGTCAAACTTAGAAGGAATATTTTTTGAGTAGACTTCATTGTGAAGTCTACTAAAAAATTCAATTGCAAAAATAACCTATTTTGTTCCGTAGACATCTATTTAAACAGTAGACTTCAAACGTAGACTGCCAGAGAAGTCTACTCTTACATGAAGTCTACAATAAAAGTCTACTGTGTTAGTCAATGCGGTGGTCAAATGCAAAAGTAACCTTTTTTGCCTGAAGTCTACACCTGAAGTCTACTGAAGAAAAACTCAACGGAATGGTCAATTGCAAAAATAACCTTTTTTTTAGTAGACTTCAGTAGTAGACTTCTCAATGAAAAAGTAGACTTCTCCTCCAGTCTACATTCGAAGTCTAAATAAGAAATCTACTTTCCTATGTTTTTTTAAAAACGCGTTTTAAGCAAATGTATAAAATATTTTTCAAACTTTTTGGTTCAGAATTGCCTCTTATTAGGTGATTGAGCTATCCATTGAATTTTATCTCATTTCATTGGATATTCATGGTGGAATCAGAAGTTTCAATTTTTAAGATACTTAGCTTATAAAAGTAGACTTCGTAGTGAAGTCTACGTTCTAAGTCTGCACTAGAAGTCTACGTGTAGACGTTTTTGTAAAAACGCCATTTAAGCAAATCTATAAAAAAAAATTCAAATTTTTTTGTTTACAATTGTTTATTAATTAGTGATTGAATTACCTAGGGTTTTTTTATTCCGTTTCATTGAATATTTCTTGTTGAATCAGAATTTTCGATTTTTAAGGTACTCAGCTTATCAAAGTAGACTTCATCGTGAAGTCTACTTTGATACAAAAAGTCTCTATGCGGTGAAATTAGTTGACTCCATGTTTTATGTTTTTTGGATTTAGTTTAATGTTTACATGTCTATGTTAGACTTCGTTTGTAGAGTTCAGTACAGATACAATGACAACTTAGTACACTTTTCCGCATACTTTTGTATACTCGAAAATTACAGAACTTAATTATAAGGGTGAAATCGAAAATTTGAAATATTAACATGTTAATAGACTTAATAGACTTCAGTACAGATACAATGACAACTTAGTAGACTTCAGTCAAAGACTTCAGTCGTAGACTTCAGTTTTAGTACAATATCCTAAACGAAAATACAACATATTTGGCAAGTTAATTATAAGATAGGTGGCCAAAAAACTTCCACACCTATCATCTACCAATTGCTAAAATGACCTCCAATCACATTGAATGTCATTTATGCAAATAGCCCAAAAGTTGCCATAAAAATCAAAGTTAGTTTTAAGAACGAAAACACTAAGCTTGCATATCATAGACATCCAACCCGGTTGCATCTAGCTTATCATGGCCCTTACATCCTGTTTCGTCATAGAGCTCTGCAGCCATTTTCTCCCTGATTTTTCGCATGTTTTTATCGCAAAGCTCCGGAGGAAAGGGCAAATCCAATGAATGACACTCGATGTACTTCAGGCAGTACACGCCGCAATCGCCACTCTGAATGTTTTGAGGTATCTCCGTACCTGGTACTCGCGAATGGGTGAACGGCGTGTAAGGGAATCTCCACTTGTCATCCTCAAGTGCACAGGTCTGAAGAAGGTAGGGTATCATAACCGCAAGAGGCTCCACAGCTTCAGCAATTTGTTCGTCAGATGCATGTTTGGTTCCCGCATGGCTATCCCATACCGTGATATGCTTCGTCACAAATGAGACCCATATTGCTACCCAATGGTCCTCCCTAATGTGCAACATAGAGTACAACGAGTCCACATCATATGCCCACGTATTCTTAGTCTGGCAGTAGATAGGTAATTCGCCAGTGTAGTACGAATATGCTCCAGGCGGTAGAAGTTTGCCAGACCCATCTGCATTCGGCTCGGATTGTTTGAAGGCTTCGTAGTCACGCAGCAAACATGGAGTTTAGGAAGCAAATCCGGTCGGATACAAACCACTCCGGATGCTTGGATAATCGCAGCCTGAGTAGGTTGATGTAAGCTTCTATGTGCTGCACATTGGGGAAAATAAGAAATGAGTGAAGTCTGCAAACGAAGTCTATTTTAGAAGTCTACGGGAGAAGTATATGGAAGAAGTCTAACTACGAAGTCTACTATGAGAAAGTAAAACACTAACCGTATCAGCTAGCCATTTCGTCGGTGTCCGGAGAATGTAATACCAATCGATCGAAGAGTTTTTTGGGCGTTTTGGCCAGGCACTGTACAAGTGAAAGAGTTAGAAAGGAAATAATACTATGAGGAAGTCTACTTACATACATATAGAAGTCTACTTACGGGTTTGATTTGATAAAGTTCATTAGAGTGGTATGCTTCGCCTTGACACCGGTTTGATCAAAAGGATCATATCCACGGGCACGGCCGGAGTGAGATGCCGACGATGGAATGATGGCCTTTGCGGTGCTGTTTCCTAAGAAGGGACTCTTCTGTGTCGCAGCCAGCTGGCGATGTCGGGCACTCGTTGCTCGGGCAACTAGCTGAGCCGCTTCTCTGGCTTTGGCATTTTTGGCAAGTGCAACCGCATCGAAGTCTACATCACACGTCTTCGGGTCAATTTCACAAATACTAGGCTCAGGGGCCTCTTCTTCATTAACGACAGCCTTCTTTCCTTTTGCATCCCCGGGGGCGTTAACACTCTCACACGCACCAACGTTGACATTAGCCTTCTTCGTAGCATCATCTTTCTCTGAATTACTCTGCAGTTTATTGTCAGAAACATGCATGAATATACAAATAAGTACACCAATGCTATAATTTAGTAACATGTTTTATCATAGTCTGAAAATTGTAAACAACAAGTTTTGAAAACATAAGTAAATAATCTCACATGGTACATAACAGTAGTAAACATGTTCGAATTCAAATGACATTAGTATTAAGTGTTCCTAACTTTGTGTGATCTTGTTCGCATGTAATGTTTTCATATAGGCGGAGGGTTTTTGGAACTAACCCCTTCATGCTTCTTGGATCCAGTGCCCTGCTGCTGGGTTGGCTCTTCCTCAGTGTGCTTCGCCGACACTATAGTCAACTCTTCTACCGCACGCTCTACAGATTCAACCTTCTCGGTGAGAAGTTTGATCTGCTTTTCACAGCTACCAAGACCATTCAGCATCTTGGTTGAAAAGCTTTTGAAGCATTGGTCGAAGTGCTCTTTCATAGTAGCGACAACTCCGACCCCTTCATCACCAACGAATGATGCGGCAGACGCAGAGGCTGTGCGGGATCTCTTGCGACTTGATTCATCTGAGGGAAGGCTCCTATTTCCGGCTTCTGACTTGACGATGTGTGCACCCAAAACACCTTCCAAAGGCCAATGGTTTTTTGAGAACTTGAAATTGGGGTCATGGAGTGCATTGACAATCTTGACAATATCTGGATCCTGTTCGTCATCATCCCACACGGGAAACATATCCGCCAAGTCTTTAGCCACGCATGACTGTATGCGAGCCTGGTAAAACACAATTAATAAATGGATTTAGAGCCATATGAAGCCTCGGAAAACTACGTATGAAGTCTACTCCTGAAGTCTAACATAGAAGTCTACTCCTGAAGTCTAACACAGAAGTCTACTCCTGAATGTCACACACTATTAATGACACATACAGAAGTCTACACATGAAGTCTACTTCTGAAGTCTACATTGAAAACTCATTACTACATAGAAGTCTACTACACTAATACAGTACCTGTTTTAGCATGTTGGCTTTGACGTTCTTTCGTCCTCTGGATCCTTTGTAAGCCAGCAAAAGAGGTTCTTCAGTAACATTTGGCAATGGTTCGCCAAATTCAGCAGAAAAATCCGGTAGAGCATAGTAAACCCCCAGTTGAAGAGCTTGCACAAATCCTTCTATATGAATTTTTTGCTGAGATCTTTCTCCTTAACAGAATTGATCAAATGCTGAAAAGCAATTCTTCCCCATGGAAACTCCTTAAAACCTTCGAGATCCATCACTAGTCTGGCATGGTTGACATTTGTGGATGAGCTGGGTCTCGTTGCCACTATGAAACCAGCGTAGATCCCAAGATAACCCAACCGCAGCCTATCATCACGAGACCATGATGAGCAGTTGGAACAGGCTTCGATAATTTTGGTAGTGCTTGGGCCCGACTTGGCATCGACCCCCATTAGCTCCCAAAATGCACGCGTGTCATCTTCAAGCGCAAGATCAGTTAAAGCCAAGTCATCCACGTACCCGCAGTTGAGTCCGGTGATCTCCTCAAACTCATGCAATGAAAACCGAATTGGAGTGGTACCAATGAGGCTCCATATCTCGTACCTCTGCTTGCAAACTATCTGAAAGGTCAGCATGTGGTGCACCAGCCTAGAAGCCCAACCAAAATCCAACTCGTGGAACTTTAAAAAGACACCCAACGGTGACTCGTAAATCTCTTCCCATTCATCCTCCTCTAGAGCTGACTTTAGTGCAGGGACCAGCCTATAATCATCAGCGTAATAGCCGATGCTTTTATCCGGGACTGGCTCAAACCCTTTGGTGTAAAGTCTTCTGGGGAATTCAGAGGCCATTATCTAACAAAGATTCCTGCATCAACGGTAACAAAGCTCTAACGAGAAAAACTAGTAACGGTTTGAAACTATACCCGAATGAAGTCTACATTTTCAAAATGAAGTCTACTTTATCAAAATGAAGTCTACTTTCCCAAAATGAAGTCTACTTTCCCAAAATGAAGTCTACTTTCCCAATATGTGAGGTCTACTTTCAGTAAAAGAAGTCTACTTTCACAAAAAGAAGTCTACTTTCACAAAATGAAGTCTACTTTCACAAAATGAAGTCTACTTTCACAAAATGAAGTCTACTTTCACAAAATGAAGTCTACTTTCACAAAATGAAGTCTACTTTCACAAAATGAAGTCTACTTTCACATTCTAAGTACAATCCGAGTCGCGAAGTCTACTGAAGCCAACCGAAGCAATCTTAACATTAAAAAAACAGTATATGAAGCAATCAAAACATCATAAATACTACATATGAAGTCTACAGAACCCAACCGAAGCAATCAATACATGATAAATACTGTATATGAAGTCAATCTACAAAGTTTAGAGTGTTACCGCCTTTATTAGATGCAGCTGGCGCCGAGAAAATACAACCAGATCTCAAACCCGACGGAACAAAAATTACAGGAAGATAGAAGAAATTTAAGAATTGCTAAGTATATAACTTCAGAACAACATCTACTAACCGTTTTGAGGCAGAAAATTACTTTAACCTCCAACGGCGAAAGCAAATCTGCAAAAAAAAAAAAAACCCCTAATTTCAGATCTGGAAAATGGGGGTTTAGAAAACGGAACGGTGATGAATACAGAGGAGTAGGGAAGCATGGGGGTGTGGTTGGAGAAAGAAAACTTGCCTGAACGAGTTTATCGGCGGCAGTTCTGAATGTCGACGGCGCCGGAGCAGAGAAACGGAAATCGCCTTCGAGTTTTTTTTTTTACACGAACTTTTCGATGGTTTTTTTTTTAACGGGATCTGTAATTCGTATATATAGTCTGGTAATTCCGTACGGTTCGGGTAAGTTTTTTCCGGTTAAAGTTGCTAATTTTCCGGGGTCTAGGTTAATTTACCTGGTTAAAGGCAGTTTCTCTTGGTTAAGGGAAGTTATTCCCGGTTTAATCTCGGTTAAATGTCCATTAGGTTAATTTTTACGGTTTAGTAGACTTCAATATTGAAGTCTACAACTTTTAAAACCTAAATAATAAATTTACTTCTACTTAATTTAAAAACATACATTTCCATTTACCAATGTGAAAAAATAATTTTTTTGCATTTTGGTTACTATTACGGAATTTATGATGGTAAATTTCATACCAAAATAATTTTTTATAAATTTTTAAATTAAATTTACAGATTTAATTACTTAGTAGACTTCATTTGATAAAATGAAGTCTACTAGTAGACTTCAGTTTTACTTTAGTAGACTTCGTAAGGGAGAAAACGGTAATTAGAACATCCGTTTTTTGTTTACACATACATGATTAAATGGTCTTTTCACTACCCATATAGGTTATATCTGTCAAATGTTTTTTCAGGGGTCTACTTTTGCATTCAAAATCAAGTTTTGGATTATTTTTAGCAAAAACCTTTTTTTTTAGGGTTTTTCTATTTTTGTTTTGTATGGTGGCTTTTCTGAATTTGTAAAATAGTGATGACTACTTCCGAATTTACACTAAAACCAGAATGTTAAATCTAGATAGGAAAATCCATATCTAAAAGCGAAGAGATCAAATTTGTATGTTGTGATTTGTATCCAACAAGTTGGAACGGAATAAAAACCGATAAAAATGGATATAAATTTTGTTTAAAAGGTAAATATTTTTAATATATATTTTCTTACAAGGGAAATTCACAGTCATAATAATAATGATGATAAGATATAATTCTTTTTTAATCAATGTTTTTTGGTTTTATATCGGATTTTGTTTGGTCTAGTTCAATTTCTTGGATATATTTAAAGTAAGTTAAATCATATACTGTAGTTTGTTTCAAACCGAATATTTCGGTTGGTTTAGATTGTATAAAAATTATTTTTGTTATTTGCTTAAAACCAAAGAAGGATTGAAATGTGAGAGTCAATTATTGGTTGGACAAAATATGGGAAGGAAAAAGATGAGACGTCACTCCTCACTAGGATAAATTTCTATGATTGGCAAACCCAAAATGTCATGTCCACACAAATAAGAGCGCGTGGATAGAATAACACTTAAATAGAGATTTTTTTTATAGCAAAACTTAATAGAGATTCTTGTGCTAGTTTATTGAAGTAGATACTATGGATCTTAAGTCTTGCAAGTTATCCATAAAAAAAATCATATATGCTGTCTCTATTATTATGATTTCTTCCGTATTTGAAATACTCAAATAGTTATACTTCTTAAATGGATAGTTCCATTTATTTAGTTTTACGCAAACTTATTTAATAAAATGCTTTCAAGAGTTAGCTTGTGACATTAGAACACTTAATTTTCTTTGTCTTCTAGTATTTCATATAGAAAGTTTAGTCTTCCCAACAGATATGCCTTTCTCTACTTGTGGATGAACAAGATTTAACTAAAATTTATCACCATCGCACGAATATTTATTCAAAAGGAAAAAACAAAATGGAACATGTAAGAAGTTTTTTAATCTTTAAGGGACAATAGGATAGGCCATATACGTGTAACATCAACCTCCATGGACGTGTTTGCGTGCTTAGCATTCGCAAGGTAGCTCGAAAATTTCTGTTGAAAGATATTTTAAGTTTTTAACCTAACCAGTAATACATGAGAATACTTTACATATATACTTTACATATATATATATATATAATAAGAAACTGAAAACGCGATTACAACATAAAGAAACCAAGAAGCTTGAAAAGACAAAATATAATAAAGATAAATAATAAAAAGTTACAATTGAATATAATAACTGGAAGTTCCCTCAAATGGTTTTGTTCTTCTATGCTAAGCGTTTCTCTACTAAGGAAAAAGAATTAGTTATCCTACGCTGAGCATTTTATCTATAAAAGAGAAGGTTAATGGTATTGGTATGATTATCTCTTTTTAAAAAAAAAAAAAAATGTTGACAAAAAGAAAAGCTTATTACCAAAAAAAAAAACTGATAGGCTAGACAAACCCAACAGAAGACAGGGCCCGAACATTCCCGCGCTTTGAAGGACTGGAGTATAGCTATAGTTGGAGGTTCATTAAGGAGATCTTGGAGCAGGCCCACTTCATACTCACGCCACTAAACAAAGATATAAATTGATGTGGTTATAATGATCTAATTTATAATTTGTTTCTGAATCTAGTATGCATAATGCATTAACTTGTTTTGACTGCTTATTAATGGAGAATGTAGTTCAAAGCCTCCCGATTTCAGAGCATTTTTTGGTTCATAGATTATTTGAATCTTGACTGCTACGTAAAACTGGTTCGTCCTTTGGTTTCCACAATGGTCCAAGGGAATCTTAAAAGAGCAATTAAATAGATTTTGACTTTGAAACATTTTTCAGTATAAAGAAGCATTACAGATGAATCGAGATGGAGTTAAGAGATCCTAATTCTAGTCTGTCTTAGTTTTTTTTTTCATACTTCTCAAATGGCTGACAGTTCAAGAAAACCAAAGATTAGTCTGAGAGTTCTTGTTGATGAAGAGAAGAACAAGATCGTTTTGGTGGAGGCAGGTAGAGATTTTGTTGATGTTCTCTTTAGTTTTCTCAAGCTCCAAATGGGGACTATCGTAAGATTGGTGAACAAACAATCTCAGAAAACTGAATTGTGGGCTGCTTCAGCAACATCTACAAGAGTGTTTTCGATATGGAGATTGATAACTTCCTCACTGAAGCATGTAAGCATATAATTTTGTATCCTAGAAGTATGAATGATGATGATCTATTCCCAAGGCTTAAGCTGAACGTTAACGAGACCGCCGAGGCTGGAAGGTTCTTCATCTGCCCAGGTTAAATAGATGAAAACTTTGTGTAGTCCGTATTGGGCTAGTTTTAATACCTCAAAATGTAGATGTCGCAAAAAGATGGAGATGAAAGTTGAAGTCACGGCTGCAAGCTACGGTGTAGAGGGAGTATTTGTCAATGAACTTTGAATGTGGTGGTTCGGAAACAGGACAGGAAGATTTTGTGAATCTTCTTTTCACTTTTCTTTCTGTTTCTTTGGAGTTTGTTCTGGAGAATCCTGGTGGTAATATGATTCACGGATGCATCTCAAACTTGTTTCACAGTTTCAAGGATTTGAGCCGTGAAAGAAGAACTAGTTCGGCGTCCAAGTTGACACTACCATGGTATTATAAATCCCAGAAGCAGCTGCTAGATATCAACACTGAAAAGCCACCAGATTTTGTGTTTGGACCTTATGGCTCTGGCGAGCGTAGGCTTAAACGTCCCTATGTAAGTGGAAAATTTGTTTATGGAGTTGACAGGGTGGATCCACTGAATCCTATATGCCAGCACAGTGGTCAACCAATGTACTGTAGTGCCTGTAAGGGGTTTTTGAAGGGAAACATGAAGTTTAGAGCATTACATGATCTGATCATAACACCTCTGAGCTCAAGCTCGACCATTGGCTACCTAAAGAAGTTTCAGGTGAGTTTAGATGATGTCGACGTGCAGAAGATCAGCATCGGCAAAGCAGAGGTGAAAAAAGCTCATGAACATAAAAACTTTAGCTTGCTAGAAACCCATTGATTAATTCACTCTTATCTGCAGGTTAACAGTGTTTTGGGAACTTGTATTATGACTTCGACGGTTTTAAGCACTGCTTTGTGGAACTTACTCGTGAAGAAGCCAAAAGAAGAGACCTGAATTAGTTGGTGAAAGGACATCAAATCTCATGCTCAACTTTTCTATGTAATCTTTTCCTTGAGGATTGATACCTATTACTATTGGTCCTATGATGTTTATCTTCTTAATGAATGAACCTCAAACCAGAGTTACCTTATGGATTTTCCAAATGGTAAAACTCTTAAACTTCTGGTTTTAAAGAAACATAGTAGCAGACCAATGTTGCTTTTTTTGTTTCCAAGTAAAAAGGACTAAAAATTGAATTAGTAGACAAACAGGCTTCAACCACGTGGCCATGGGAAGCTCAAATATTTGATGGGTTTCGATTTTTGAATCATCACGTTAAGTTAATACTACTAACAGATCATACGAAACCTCTTGCTATTTCCAAAAGAAGGATTTATATTTTTTTTTCTCTAGAAGCCATAATTTTGTTTCACGCTTCTTGAAACTCTGTGATAGACCTTCGAGATTTTCCAAAATCCCTGCATGAGCATCACCTGGTGGTAAGTGAGTGGCTACTACAACATTAATGCAGTTTATGCATTTCGAATATTGAAACAATCAATATTACTCAAAAGATGAATCCTATATGTACTTTATTTTGTGAAGTTTTCTTTCTTCAATCCTTTCGTAGTTTTCTCTTTTCTCTCCACTCTTTGCTGTCGACTTTAATTACTTTTTTTCAAGAATCTTTAATGGATCAACGATTCGACAAAAGAATGATCAACGTGCTTATTGCAAATCATATGAACAAGAAAAATGTAGTCTGGGTTCAATCGGGCAATGATTTTGTTGACTTGCACTATAGTTTTCTCACAATGCCTTTGGGAACCATTGCGAGATTGCTTGAGCAACACGGAAGGCCAAGAGGAAATGTCACCATAGGTTGTCTCAACAACCTTTACAAAAGTATCGTAGACATGAGAACCGATCATTTCCGGACTGAAGCTTGCAAGGAGATGCTGCTTTACCCGAAAAGCGTGAAGGAAGGTCTATGCAGAAAGCTAAAGATTAACATCGACGACACAGAAGCAACCAAGTACTTTATGTGTCCGAGAAAATCATGCCCCGAGTTTTTTAGTAACTTCGATACTTCAAGATGTAGTAGCTGTGGAAACTTGATGAACAAAGAGATTCCATCACCTGAAGGAGATGGATTTGCAAGGAGGTTTGGAGGTTTTGATGATTATGATGAAGTCTTTGTCCGTGGCGATGGAAATTTGGCATTTATCTTGAGTGATGATTTGAAAATCGAGAACTTTTCTCATGATCTTCTCCGCAAAAAGATCAAGGATTTGGGCTGCATTAACGTTTTGGATGAGATAGGGGAAGGTGAAGCAGAAATTGGCTTCCGAGAGGTAAGTACTTTTGATGTTTAATATTAAAACCCTTTTTTGTGCTTCAATAGAATGAAAGTTTCTGACTTTCACACTCTGATTATACAGGCAATGACTTTGCTTCAGTCCTTATTCACATCAGAAACACCATTGACAACCACATTCTTCCCGTGTCAAAGTTCATCATATCCTTCTACGAGGGCATATAAGCCATCAAGAAGTCCATGTGACTCGGTTTTAGGCCAAGTATTGTCTTTGAAAGTGTATTTGAGTAAGCATGACAGAAGAAAGGTTGTTTATGTTGTGTGTAGAGAAGGGTTTATTGATCTTCTTTGCACTTTTCTTGTTCTTCCTCTTGAGTATATCTGCAAGATCTATTGTAGAGATGATGATGATGATGATGATGATGATGATGGTATGGGATGTATCGGTAATTTGTTCAGAAGCTTCAAAGGTTTAAGCTGCAATGAAATAACCATTCCTTGGTATTATAGTTGCAGAAAGAATCTTCTTGGCATCACAGTCCAAAACCCTCCTAGTTTCTACCGTTGTATTTCTTGTTTGGAAGATCATAGTTTGGCTGCAAAACAAGAAGATAGACTCAAGCTTGTGACTGCGATAGATCCAAAAACCGAGATGATGGGCCAGCCAAGAAGTAGTGGTGGGTTTGTGAAGAGTAACAAGAAGTTTCTTGTGTCAGATGATCTGAGAATCACACCTCTGAAGTCAGATCTTACAATGAGGGAGCTAAAAGATCTGAAGATTAGTTTTGATGATGTCAAAATCGAGGAAATATCTATCGGTAGAGCAGAGGTATGCATAAATTTTTAAGTCACGGTGTTTTTCTTAATTGTTATTTTAGCTACTATAACACATGGCTAACACTATTGTCTCTCTCTCTACATGAAAACAGGCTATCAATTTATTGAAAGCTTCCTTTGTGACATCCTCTGCATTAACCAATGGTCTCTCAGATTTGCTTGCAAAGAAGCTGGAAGGATAAATTCCGAAACTTTATTAGCAAAATATCTCTTAGCATTCTCTAAAACTTTTCTACTTTTACCTACTTTCTGTTTGTGCTTATCTGGTTTCAGTTTTGAGAATGTTATGATCACTTTTGAACAATAATGTTGAAGTCTTCTTGTTCTTCATTTGTACACTCTTAAGATCTTAATAATGGGGGCTAAATTTTTCTAAAGTAATTCTTGACTAAATCTTGCAATGTCCTTTTCTTTTTCCAACAATACTCAATCTGCGTTTTTGAGACAAATGAGTTTGTTTTAGACTTTATGGTAAAGCTTAACTATAGCTTTTGCTAAAAAAAAATTTGTCGGCTAACTATAGCTTAAACTGCGGTTAAGTAATTTAAAAAAAAAAAAATTGTCATTTTGAAATAGAAAATTATCAGAAATGTAAAATTAAACGGACGGAAACAAAAAGACGAAACACGTTAACGAGTAGCATGTGACAACTAGGTTAGACGGTGCCATGTCATCACTAGACAGCAAAAAAGGGATCATAAGATCCGCTATTTAATTACATTTTTGCCACTCCCGACGAACGCGACTTCACCGTAATAACCGAAAACCGACGTCGGATAAAAGTCAAAAGTTGACAACTCAACAACGTACTCCTACGACTTTTTTTTCTCTCTTCAACGCTTCTTTGTTAGTTTCATTTGTTCAACAACATTTTTTGTCTCTTCACATTAGACACAGCTACAAAATAAAATTCCACTTTTTACAACACACTACAGAAAAACACTAAAATTTCCCATGACTTTTTTTTTTTTGACGAGAAACTGACAACATTTATCGAAAATTGCCAAACGATTTAGTTTCCTCACAAATTTCATTAAAATTTTTTGACGATTCAATTTTCTAAAATAACTCTGGTAATTTCATCATAAAGGGTTAGAAATTTCCAACAAAAACTGTTCTTGATATCTCATCAAAATTTTGCCAAAAATTTGGTAGAACTCTGACAGATTAGTTTTCTCGGCATATCGTCAGAAAAATTACTAAAAAATTATTGTCCGAAACGAATCAGACTCGTAATTTTCTGCAACTCCTTTTTTAATTACTATTATTTATTTTTCTATTCTAAGTCAGAGTCCAACAATATAGCTCTCTGCCAAGACAAGTAGGTTGGAAAAAAAAATACTAATTCAATGTTCGCCACCAATATGAATACAAAAAAGGTGAAACCTGAAATATTCAAAGCCATGAAACATTCTTATAAGTTACTATAATACTAGTAAAAATATGATAAAAAATTAAAATACGAGCTAAAGAAAACGCGAAGTCCAAATCAATTAGTCTAGCATTTATTAATTCCTGGTCAATAAATGCCCTTTGCTTACACACGCACACACAACCATATAAATACACACACAAGCCTTTCATCTCATAACTCAACAACTCGTTTAACAAAGCCAACATTCTTAGAGAGAGAGAGAGAGAGAGAGAGACATAGAGACATAAAGACATAAAGACATAAAGTAATACATTTGAAGTGAAGTTCAAGGTCAATATGATGAAGAAGATTATGATTGTGTTATGCATCATCTTATTGGTGGAGATGTCTTGGATTATTTCGGGAGTTGATTGCAGATCCCTTAGAACAGAGCAGACGAACGGCTGTGATCAAACGGCTGCCGTAGACGGTGGTGGTGGTGGTTTTAGCTTTTTCTCTGCGGCGGCAACGGCCAACAGCTCGAGGATTCCTTTGATGAGGAGTTTGGCTTTCCGATTAGCATCAGGGCCGAGCAAGAGAGGCCGTGGACACTAATGAATATTATTAATACTTATTTTTCTTTACTTTTTTGCCTTTGCATATACATATATAAAGATTTGTGTAACTAATTTTTTTTCTTTATCTGAAAAAGAAAGAGAAAAAAGAGACAATTGATTGATTCAATTCCATGTAATCACTAGTCAGAGGAGCAGTTACTTGCTTTTTGTTTGCACAAGTCGTTGTACAAGTAAAGGTTTGATTTTTTCTATAATGGAAATACAAATGACTCTAGTTTATTTATTTTCTTAAATTCACAAACAAAAAGCAACAATAGAAAGCAGAAGAAAATGTTTTATTATAAAAAGGGCCAAACGAATTTTCAGTTACTAATATAAAAGATTTACTCCCCTGTTCTACTACAGTATATAATATATTAAGTTAAAAATGGACAACTAAAAAAATAAATTATTTTTATTTTGTCCTTTTTACATTAAATATTCATTTAAGATCCAAAAGTCAATCAATAAAAAATAATACTACAGAAATTAAATTAAATTCACTTTTGTATACAAACTTGAAAAAAAAATATTATAATGAAATATGACACTGTGGTTCGTAGCCACCTGCTCAATCCTCTGAGCAGGCACAAATTTATGGATTGGAGATGTTTTACGAATATGATAAGACCTAGCTAAGCTATCAACCGGTTCTCCAAACACGTTGAAATTTTATCCTAGAGTCACTCTGCCAACTGAGCGGTTAGCACTTAGCAATAGCCATTAAATAAATTTTTTGAAGTTTTAATTACTTAGTTTTTCAATTGAGTCGAAAAAGTTTTTTTTATGGTTTTTAGAGTAATTGATAAATAGTTCACTTTTGTGACAAAAAAAAAAGATAAGTAGCTCACCTATTTTAGTTTGAATGACTCAAATTTGACCTATAATCTATATTTTTGTCATAGTTTTTACTTATATTTTTCATAAAGTTTGCTTATTTTGTAGTTTTTTTTGTTTTGTTTATTTTTCCAACTTATTTATCTAAGTCTAACGTGTTAGGAATAAAAGCATGTATTTATGTATATATGTATCTCCATATTATCTCTATATATTATATTATTTTATATTATATATAGAGATTATGGGAGGAAAAAGGAGTGGGGGAGAGACACGAGAGCAATAGAGGAGAGAAATGGGAAATCTCTTCTTATTATTTTTCATTCACACCTTCACAAATATAGCATCTATTTATATAAGTGAGGTGAGAGTAGTAGGTAAGGCATTTGGGTAACTACCCTTGTTACCTAACCATCCTTATCACTATAATAACTATTGTGTGGATAATTATTATCCAACACTCCATCTTAATTATCCATCACTAATAATATATCACATACTATCTCGTTAAAAATCTTACAATGGAAAAATTCGTTTAGGACAAAAATCATAACAAGGAAAAAAGAGTGCAGTAGCGCCCCCTTTAGAAAAGATATATAATCTTCTTTTCCTTGGAACGTTTAGATGACAGAGTCTTTCTCTTTGATAGATGAGTTTGGACTTCTACGTCATTTGGATGTCTATCCGTATACCTCGTTAAAAAACCTCATCATGGAAAAGCCAATGGGCAAAAACCATGGTAAGGAAAAAAGAATGCATCTACGCATATCATCATACTTCTCTTCCTAGAAGTATTCCTCTTTGGAGTTCTATATTTTGCGTGTTCATTGCTGACTCGTTAAAAACATTTTCATGGAAAAACTCATTGGGACAAAAATCATGATAAGAACAAAAGAGTACAGCCACACTCATCTTCTAGACGAATATCTTAATATGGTTCTTATGGAACCCATTAATATATGTCTTCTGGATATATATCTTTGTATGGTTCTTCTATAACCATTTCATAAATGTCTTTAGAACATTTTCTCTATATGGTTCTTCTGGAACCTTTTTACAAATGTCTTTAAGACATCTTTATTCGGTTCTTCTGGAACCTTTTCACCAATGTCTTTAGGACAATTTCTATATATGGTTCTTTTGGAACATTTTCACTTAAGAGGGGATTTTTTTATCTTACAAGCCCATCGGCCTCTCGCGGTTCATTTGCTCTATTCTCATCATTAATTTGTTCTGGAACATTTCTTTTGATGGAGCATTAGCAGGGATATATGTTTTTGTCACCCATCTTATATCTTTGAACGCATCAAGTAACTGGTTTGCCAAGCTTTGCAAATGTACAATTTTATGAACTCCACCTCACGTTTATTGGTAGGAGGATCGATATAAGCCAAAGTTTATATACACTTTTGTGCTATCTTTTGGTGATTCTCTAGATCCTCCTCCTCAATGCAGGGAATTCATTTTCATCAAAGTGGCAATCGGCAAAACGTGCCATAAACATATCTCCAGTTACCAGTTCAAGATATCACCTCTGGAATAATCCATTTTATTATACTACTCGAGAAAAAAACTCTTCAGGAGTTTTGATGATCATCATTCTTTAATTCAATCGAGTAGTGTTCCCGAGAACAGAATTCCAATATAATCCTTTAGGGATTAATTCCTCTAGAGGTTAATCTTTGGTTCCACTTTTTATAATGACATGGTGAATCGAGATCTCTTACCAATGATTTCATTCAGGTAACTGATTTTATCATTAACCATGTCAATAATCTCTTCACGAGATCAATCCTCTTTCGCTCCTTTTCTTTTGAGGATTTGGAACCAAAGTAGTCTATCATGTTTTATACGTGTCATAGACGCAAATAGACCGTCCTTCATGGACATCTATTTTTAGTGGAGCTCAGCTGGGATATGAGATTTTGTTTTTTCACTCAATATAAATTTCAGGTTCATATGAGGATCCATCAGCTGTTTTCTATATGCCATACTGCATATTTTATATCACCACATGGAGATCATCTTAATTGGTTTTGCAATCCCTTGAATTTGCTTTATCTTAAGCTCATTTCGAGTGCGAACATAATCTTCTATATGTTCATCTTACACTCGATGTGGGATTCTTTAATTCTCCTCCTCGAGATAATGACACTTTTAAGATCTATCCATCTGGAATTGAATCTCACTCTAGGATGAACTACATATTCGATGAGCTTTAAACCAAAAGAAATTGTGATCCATCCATGGATGCTTTTCAAGATGGCTTCATATTTATGACATGCAATAGTTGAAAAATCTTCTGGTTAATGATCTTATATCATTGGAACTACCAGGATGGCTTAACCGGTTTATTCAATTAGTAAACTTCAGGTTTACTATGGTATATACCCTTGCCATCTT